AATAGGACCTCGTGCTGTCGGGCCAGTGTCTTTGGACAATCCTGTCAGCATCTCCGTCCGACCATCTGCTGTCTGGGCCTCTGACTGTTGACTGCATACAAAGCTTCACATTGCACCATGTTCGTGTCAACAGAATACATTTTCCGTACCGTGGCAGGTGTTGTATTTTGAATCGAAAGTAAGACTAAGGACGCGAGAGACTTCGAATTGCGGCAGGCAGCACGGGTGCCGAACTGCAAAGTGATCAGTGCGATTTGGAAGAGAACCCAGCTTAGGTTGCAAAGAGTTTGCGTTGCTTAATTGCCAGGCTTTTCTGCCTGGGCCATCACTAGCTTCCCATAGTGCTGGATGATTCTCCTGAATCGTGGTGCTCATGGCGCAAGGAGGCATTCAAGCAGAAACATCACTCTTATACTACTCTTTAAACCACAGGCCTTGCATGGTGAACGAGCACCCAGAGGGAAGGCAGGCAAGGCGCCCATGCAAGGTGAAACGACCCCAGTGCAGCTAGAAAGTGCTCGTTCGGGACGCACCAAGAATCTTAAGCTGCGTGCGATGTGCAANNAATAGGACCTCGTGCTGTCGGGCCAGCGTCTTTGGACAATCCTGTCAGCATCTCCGTCCCACCATCTGCTGTCTGGGCCTCTGACTGCTGACTGCCTGCGAAACTTCACCCTGCACCATGTTCGTGCCAACAGGCCAACAGAATACATTTTGTGTACCATCGAAAGTAAGACTAAGGAAGCGAGAGACTCCGAATTGCGGCAGGCAGCATGGGTGCCGAACTGCAAAGTGATCAGTGCGATTTGGAAGAGAACCCAGCTTAGGTTGCAAAGAGTTTGCGTTGCTTAATTGCCAGGCTTTTCTGCCTGGGCCATTACTAGCTTCCCATAGTGCTGGATGATTCTCCTGAATCGTGGTGCTCATGGCGCAAGGAGGCATTCAAGTAGAAACGTCACTCTTATACTCTTTAAACCACAGGCCTTGCATGGTGAGCGAGCACCGAGAGGGTAGACAGGCAAGGCGCCCACACAAGGTAAACGACCCCAGTGCAGCTAGAAAGTGCTCGTTCGGGACGCACCAAAAATCTTAAGCTGCGTGCGATGTGCAAGAGACTTTCTCACTCGAAACCCGATGCATGAGTCGGAAGTAGCCTGAAGTTTGCAGGACCCCGGGCCAATAGGTCCTCCTGCTGTCGGGCCAGTGTCTTTGGACAATCCTGTCAGCATCTCCGTCCCACCATCTGTTGTCTGGGCCTCTGACTCCTGACTGCCTGCAAAACTTCACGTTGCACCATTGTTCGTGCCAACAGGCCAACAGAATACATTTTGTGTACCGTCACAGGTGTTGTATTTTGAATCGAAAGTAAGACTAAGGAAGCGAAAGACTCCGAATTGCAGCAGGCAGCATGGGTGCCGAACTGCAAAGTGATCAGTACGATTTGGAAGAGAACCCAGCTTAGGTTGCAAAGAGTTTGCGTTGCTTAATTGCCAGGCTTTTCTGCCTCGGGGCATAACCATAGGGCTGGATAACTCTCCTGAATCGTGGTGCTCATGGCGCAAGGAGGCATTCAAGCAGAAACATCACTCTTATACTACTCTTTAAACCACAGGCCTTGCATGGTGAACGAGCACCCAGAGGGAAGGCAGGCAAGGCGCCCATGCAAGGTGAAACGACCCCAGTGCAGCTAGAAAGTGCTCGTTCGGGACGCACCAAGAATCTTAAGCTGCGTGCGATGTGCAAGAGACTTTCTCACTCGAAACCCGATGCATGAGTCGGAAGTAGCCTGAAGTTTGCAGGACCCCGGGCCAATAGGACCTCGTGTCGGGCCAGCGTCTTTGGACAATCCTGTCAGCATCTCCGTCCCACCATCTGTTGTCTGGGCCTCTGACTCCTGACTGCCTGCAAAACTTCACGTTGCACCATTGTTCGTGCCAACAGAGGAATGCAAAGCACTAAGCATGCCGCAGTAGGGGTAGGCAAACAAATCTGACGTCGTGGCAGGTGCCGTATCTTGAATGTAAGACTAAGGAAGCGAGAGACTTCGAGTTGCGGCAGGCAGCACGGGTGCCGAACTGCAATGTGATCAGTGCGATTTGGAAGAGAACCCAGCTTAGGTTGCAAAGAGTTTGCGTTGCTTAATTGCCAGGCTTTTCTGCCTGGGCCATCACTAACTTCCCATAGTGCTGGATGATTCTCCTGAATCGTAGTGCTCATAGAGCAAAGAGGCATTCAAGCCTAACCAGACTCTGAGACTCTTCACCTCACCTAATGCTTTGAGCAAAACCAACAGGCCAGGAACCACTGCTTCGACGGGTCTATCAGATTTGCGTCAGGCCAGCGTGGCGACGAGCCTTCCGGCAAATCTCACGGGCCTTGCGAACTCCCTGACGTCGGTGGCGGCTCCTTGACAGTGATTGGAGGATCCGATTTCGGGGAAAGTTGCCTGTGGCACAGCTATATGTCTCAACGTGGCCTTCCAGGCTGGTGCAGATCTTCCTCAGGAGCCGGGACGGGCTAACTCGCAGGTCGTAGGCTTGGTTCAGATCTCCATTCGCTGCCATTGTTGCAAACACACCTGATGGTCCACTGCATCATGGTGCTATTCCAGTTCTGGTTGTACTGCGGTCGAGTGGTCCAGCAGGCGCCGCCGCTGCCAGCCGATGTTGCATCAGGGATGAACTCGCAGCAGGATCCGGCCGCGGCAAGTGTCTGAAAAGTTTCAAATCGAAAAGCGTCACTTGGCGCGGCTCAGCAGCTAAGTACAGGCCTCGATGATGGCCAACATGATGCAGCAGGACATCTTCCCTCAGGCCTGAAAGATCCTAAACGTTTGCACTCCGTGATGTTCTGGCCGTGCACACCGCTTCAGGCACGGCGGCAGCAGCTGAGTTCCATTCGCTATGGCAGCAAGAACCTGAACAGGCCCACGCTGCAGGAGGCCATGGAGCTGTCCTTCATTAGTGCAGCAAGCAGCAAGGCATCAGGAAAATGGCCTTAAGGTCAAGACTGGACAGAGTACACTGCGTGTAGCTGCAGCTGGCACAGTTTTGTCTAGCTGCTGTACACACCTGGTGCAATTCCTCAGAACAACTTATATCCACCCAGAAGTGAATGTAAGGCAAGGACAACAATCGAAATCGTCGTAGTATTGCCACGTAATGGCAGGCGTGTGCGAGATCCGTATTGGGAATTGACCTGCCGTGCGCTGAACCTTTGGGCCATTGCCAAACGTGTGATACTTCTGGCTAACCGGTAGCTGGCACAAGAGCGTCTCATGCGCAGGGGCATCCTCTCTGCTCGATCAGTGAGTCGAGCATGATGGCTGCCAGAGTCTCGGGCCTGCGGAGAGATGCGAAAGCGCCACATGGATGTTTCGACCCGACCACCGGCATTCCCTTGAGACATATCTATTGAATCTATTGCGGACGGACACATGTTTTCTCGGATCTGCCGCCCCAAGGCATTGACAGCCGACAGGCACAAAATCGAGAATTGCATCTCGATGATGGAGTCGTCGGCCCAGATCCTGTTTCGTTCAGCGTGCGATCCCTCGTTTGGAGCCGGCCTGACACGCAACGCCAACGCCCGAAAGCTTAATTTCAGGCGGGGTTTTGCAATCCCCCGTACATTAGTACGGTCCCTGATGTCCATGTCAGAAACATGTCCATGCATTTAAAGCCACACGTCTCTGAGCACTCGACGGCCAACGATTTCATGCTCGAACTGCATGTTCTTAGGGCCATTGATTCATGAATGTGCGATCCGGACTCAGGTGCAACTGGCAAGCCTGAGCCCACGTTGGCTTGTACTAGCAACAGACTGACGGATCAACCAATTGCTCGTACCCAAACATAATCAGGATGCATTCGGAGCATCAGATGACGAATTCCTATGCGTGAGCACAACGCACGTTGACGTGAACCTACATGCAAGGTTAATGCAAAGGCGCAGGTGCATGGATTTGCACGAGTACGCACGCCCGTCGTTCTCGTAAAGGCATGTCGGCTTGGTCCTGGCCTAGCTTGGCTTCCCAGGAATGCAGCGCCCTCACAGCCTCCTGAAGATGGACATGCAGGCAGTCGAGCTTGATCGGTGGTTGAAGAGTTCGGTGTCGCATCCTCAATGTGAAGTACTAGCGGTTGTGCTAGTACCATAATCGTTAAACGGTTGACTTCAATTCGTGGTCGGATGCCTTGAGAATGTGCTCCAGCCCTGGAAGCTGTGTTACCCGCACCAAACCTGAAAGCAGATCAAGAGTGTGCAGCTTCATCGAGTGTGCAAGCCCGGCTGCCAGGGCTGAGGATGGATGCCTCTACGTCTTTGGCTGAGTATATGCAGCATGCTTGTCCTGCATAGAGCCGTTTAAGACCGTGTATCCTGACCCGACCGTCCTTCCGACTTCCATGCTCCGCTAAGGGGTGTCGGGCTCATGCCTCTGATGCCAGACCAGGCAAGGCCACCTGTGAGGGCTCTTCCAGACTGTTCTGATTCAGGGCTCAATCGGGCTCCCGGCTCCTGGGATCCACATCTAGGGTTTAGGGTTTGGGGTTCATCTTGGGTTTAGGGTTTGGGGTTCTTGAGATCGGTTTCTCGAAGGCTGAAGGCTCCGAGCCTCGAGCCTAGCCAGCAGACCTTCAAGGCAACAAGCATCATGTGGGTAGTTCTCCAAATTCGGGTCCCTGTTTAGCTCCCCTAAATTGCGCGGAACCCTTGTAACAGAGGCCCCTAAAAGGGACCCTCATTTAGAGAACTACCCATATCCATGCATCTTCTGCAACTTCTTTCCCTTTCGTCCCTGCAATTTCCAGCGCCCTCAGGCCCAGCTACAGGGTTGCCTAAAAGTGAGCCACAGTATCTGTGCGCTGCAGTGCCTCAGACGTTCGGCCGGCACAGGCTGGGCATACTAGACGCCTGAGACTTTTGGATTTGCCGCTCAATCAGCAAATTCCACAACAGTAGCTCTTGTGTGAGCCTGCGTATCTGAAGTGCATCGCACAACATCCTGAACACGAACACTAAGTTCAGAACAAAATGAATGACGCTGCAAGGCCGAACATAGCAGACACACCCTGAAAGCTGTGACGAGGCATGTGCGCAGCAGCCGATGATGGGCATGGCCACTGGCATGGCTTGCAACTCTCTGGCCGCAAATTACCCAGGCAGCAGAGTCCGTGCTGATGGAGTCGCATTGAAGTCGGAGTTTAGCTGCAAGCAGAGCACGACCAAACCACTCTGAACTCCACACATCTCGACAGCTGGGTTTCAAACCATGCAGCACCGGCAGGTTGGCAGATTGTAGGGGCTCTGCCGTGCCAGATCAAAGATAAGATCGCTTCATAGCTTCTCCACTAGAGGTTGAAGCTTGCTTCGGCGATTCGGGTTCCATTGAAATGCACTTTCTTCTGGCCTGACCACAGCATAGCGCCCGGACAATGACGATCCCATTTGCTAGTGGGACATCTACAATTGCAGCAATCTGCTCGGTACCACAGCTCATCATGTGCGCCTCTCTTGTCTGCAGAACATGGACCCCACCACATTACCTTGAAGCGGTGTGTACAAGCCGTACAAGCATGCGAACGAAGGCTCAAGATCTGTTTCTCTATTTCCGGAGGTGGCTATGAGACTGCCATGAGTCTGATGCATGGCCCACAGGAGCGGGGCCGTGCCGGCAAAATCACAACCCGGTCTTGTAGCCTTCCAGCAGGATTAGCAGGCGATTCGCCGCGGATAGAGAGCCACAGGCAACTTCAGGCAAATTCAGGCAAGAAGGTGCGTGCCCGACTTCACATGATCACTACTTACTGATGGCTGGGTACTGCAGTGGCATGTGCATGCCGCTGCCCTTGCGCTCCTCTTGAACTACACTCTACCACGAGGAGTCCGTCGGCGAGCGGTCTTTGCAGATGGTGTGCTGCGCTAAGATGCACTCATGCCAGTTGCCAGGTGACATGTCGTATAATTATGACAGGATGAGGGCTGAGCGGCTGGGTGGTTGCCAAGGCCTGTGCAAGATCACACTTTCGCGTGAAGAGCTCAGCATATTGTGCACCTGTTCCGACCTGCCAACAGGTGAGCCCCGACTCTCGGTCAGTCTGCACGCTGTGTGACTAAATGTCAGTCTAGGCTCAGGCAGAGTGTGACGTTTGGTCATGCAAAGTAGGTGATCCTTGCACCAGTCTCAGGTCTCGACACCGACGAAATAGAGCCTCAGCTTGTGTGGAGCATGTGTTCGAGCTTCGTAATTCAATGTGGCTGCGCGAGCTCTTCGCACCTTCGAGATCTTTTAGACACAGCGTGCGGCATTCTCTTTTTCCTTTCGGAATTCGCTGGGGTAGCATCCGAGATGCGGACAACTCTCGCACCCTGTTCGTGAAGAACTCGTTCCTGCATGTGGAGGAGTGGTGTGGGCTTGTTGTTGCAGTGGACAGATGATTGGCAATTACACCCGTTACGGAACATGCATGGTCAGCTGTGATTTCCTAAGCGTTTTCAGTCACGTTGAAGAGTCGTTCCTGAAATCTTCGCTGCCCGCACGTGTTCGGCAGGACAGCGATGACGAGGATGACGACGTTAACTGCGATGGCACCTCGCAAGAATGTGCAGTTCAGCCCTTGCGAGGATCTGACATGCGCCAATCGATATTTAGCTCTTGACTTGACTAGGCCGTGCTGAGCCCGAAGAACCGTTTTGGAGACTGTAGCTGCCAAACGTGAACGCAGGGATGCATTGAATCCCTTGCTGAACGTGCAATTTCTGCCGTGCTCCCGCGAGCAAGTTAGGTACCTCTTCGCACCGCTCGAGCTCGATGCCCAGTAGCATGGGCCGCGACTATGAGGTGCAGATGGGACTTCTGTTTTCTTATGGGACGTCCCGCAAGCGTCATGGCCATGGCATCTGGCAATCCGCGCACCTCTCGGCCACAGATCCTGAAAGTGTGTCCCCATCCTGTACGGCTCATCCAAGAGCATGAAACCTGGTCTCGCAAACCACATTGCAGCCTGCCAGGATCGGCCCTGGCGCCAGTTGCCGTCTTCAGACATGCTCGAGTGACTTGGCATTCGGACATGCCTTTCGCTTTGAAAGCTTTGCACGGAGCTTTCTATCTAGGCCAAGCAGGAATATCGGCTGCAGAGCAGTATTCAGTTGCCAACAAAAATGTTCTCATCATCTAATCTGTTCGCCGCCGTCTTGACAAGATGTGTCTCGAGCCTCTTTCAGACGCAGCTGTGGACAAGGCTGCTCTACTCCCTCCGGAATAAGCGAGCGGAAGACGACGGTGCGCAAACGGATCTTCGCTGGAATCAAAGATTGGTATCATGGACTCGAGCTCATGAGCTGCAGGTAGGGAAGCGGTAAGCACTAAGCAAGGTCTCTTGCAGCAGACCCGGCCAACAGCCCTTCATATCCCTTCATGCCTTCTGCTTGTAGGTACTCCGACAGATGCCGTCATGGCACCGACCGCCATGGCGTCTCAACTAGGCAAGCTCTTGGCAGCACGGCCAGCTGTTTTGCTGCACACCTTTAAGCAGCGAGGTGCTTCTCTGAAGTAGAGTTGTTCTTTGTTCTCTGGATGCCTCCGTTGGTTATACAAACATGAATGCAGCGTTTCAACTCAGACAGGCGAAGCATTAAATCAGTGCACCGCGCTATGCACGTTTGCTGCACACGAAGTCTCCAATCCAGCCTAGTGCAGGTACTGCAGGCTGCGATCTCAGGCTTTAGCACCCTGTCAGGTAGAGCTTCGCTGAATGTTTTCGTTCAATGACAGGGGACAGGTCCGACCAGTTCTGTTTGCTACTAATACAACATCGTCCTCAGGTCTTCTTCCTCCGTCGACGCCGGTTGAGGCCACGGACCTATCGGAGATCGCAGCATAGAGCCTCGTGCTGTTTCGAAGAGATTCATCGAGGGCTGAGGGATGGTGCCGCAGCAAGGAGAGCTCGGTGGTTTGTGCTGGGACTCACCAGCAAGACGTGCACTTGGGAGAAGCACCACTACTGGCGGGCAGGCACAGCATTCGGTGCGCTCATGAACCGCGCCTCAAGGCGCCGTGAGCCGTGAGACCCTTTGTGCTTCGCCGCGCTTCGCCCGCAAGCTTTGGCGAACTTTTTCAGATTAAAGACCGTGCTTGCGCATGTCAAGGTGACAATGGAGTTGGGGTGGCTTAAGGCTTTTAAACTTTTAGCTGATTCGCCATCTTACACCGAGAAGTGTCGACAATGCCTACTCACAACTCCAAGGCGCCATGGCCGGTCGCATTCCCCACAGATAGTGTTTTGGTGGATCGTCCTTTTGTAGAAACCTGGTTCGCATAATTGTTGCTCAGATCCAGTGCCGGTGGCCATCTGCTGTGGAGTCTGCAGTTATCTGAATTGCCGCACAGCCCGCGCAGCGACCTCGCTGTGACTGAGGGCCCCGGGTTGGTTCACAGCTGTAGAAGAGCTGATCATGCATTCTACTCCGAACAGGATGTGTTCGTGCCAACTTTCGGAGAAGGCCACCATTTTTGTCGCAAGAGAGAATTGCGAAAAAGGCACTCTTGGGCTGTGCTAGAAGTGAGAGGATCTCACCGAGTTCATGGATAAAAAGTCGTCTCAAGTCCTGATTTTAAAGGGCTGGGCGAGGCTGACAAGGCTGACGACGCCGGCTCTGGTACGCTCTTTTGGCTGCGGAGCCTGTGCAGCCAGCCCTCGGACGTGTGAAGCCGGCCTCCCAACTCATCGGAACAGCGGCCACTAATAGGAACAGAGTGCTGCAGAGTGGCGACCGGCATCACATGTCGCAGTGGTGCAATACATAACCACCTCGGATGTGCCTGCAGGCAGGGCAACAGCACGGAATGAACGATGGACGAATCTGGCTGTGATGTTGCCCTGCCTGGGATCCAACAAAGACTCGCATATACCACGAGTACCGTCGGCATCGCCGCAGCAAGCAAAATGGCATCACCCTTTGCCATGTTCGTGGTGTGAGTCAGTGACCCAGGCCGCTTGGACGTACTTTCCTGCGACCTCCAAGCAAGCCGATGTCCCGTGACACACGTGTTCAGCTGGATCATTAAAGTATATTAAAGTGACATACGATTATGATGAGTCGGGAGAGTCTCGAAGACAGATATTGGAGCAAACATGGAAGGCTTGCATCCTGAATCCCTTCTTGGATACCTCCTGCTAGCTGTTAGCCGGTCTCGGCGCCTCTTGCGGGCTTTTGCTGCGCTCCACGGCTTCTGCTGTGTGGGAGAGAGAAGTGCTCTCCCGGCTCTGGGATGCGGCCAAGCACCAATATACTATAATGTACTATGATATGCTATAACATTCTATGACATACTGAAGTATACGACCTAAGAGGTCAGTTCTGCGGATTTTCGCTCCGGTAAGCAGACTAAGGCCGCAAGCATGAGTGCCTCCACTGCGCATCGAGATGAGGTGGTCGAGGCAGCCTGGACAAATCTGGCATCACAGCCCGGTTGAAAGGAGGGCTCAGATTGTTGAATCACATTGACACATTGCCATTGTTTTGTGTACATTATCTGCATGTGCATGTCTGAGTGCGTGTCTTGTCGGCACGTGTGTGTACACCTACACTGACCTACACCTCCACAAACCTACCTGCCTGCGTGCCTACCTACCTACTCACCAGCCGCTCACCAGCCCACCCACCCACCGACCGAAAGGGCTACGTGCATGCTGCATGCATCATGCGTGCATCTGTGCATGCGTGCTAGCACCTGGTTGGTGCTGTCGTGGCCGTCGAGGTTTCAGGCTGTGCCACGAGCCAGACAATCCATTCCATGAGGCGGCGATTGGCGCGTTGAATGACTTCGCAGCAATGTTGCTGAAATCTGGTATCAGCAGCTTCGCAGCATTTGGAGCTTGATCGCGGATTGGGAGGTTTTCTTATGATGTCGAGGTGTACTCTCGTCCAGCATGTGGGCGACGATTCCGCCAGCTTCCGCCCTTTCTCAAGAACGGAGAGTCCAAACCGAAGCCAAGTGCTGAAACTCAACTGGTGTCATGCCCATGTACACGAAAGGCAGCGTCCAGGCAGGTCCAGGCAATAGCAGCTTTCGTGACAGCGGGACCATGTAAGGGGGGGGGGGGTGTGAGTGTGGGCGGGTTTTACATATCTTCCGTCCTCGAAGGGGATTTCAAAGTTTAGCAACTTCGGTCAGCACAAGAGAAGCATAGGCATAGGCCTTCCCAGGGAGATCTCTCACCGCTCGCCGTGAGAATTATAGATTTACCCCACCCCCCCCCCCCCGCCACCTAAACAAGAGTCTACGGTTTAAGGGTTGAGGGTTTAGGGTCACCCCCTCAAGCAAGAGTCTAATCATTTAGGCCTGAGGCCCTTTTAGTACCAACAGTATTGGTCCATGCAGCCTGGCTAAGCCGAAGCCTGCCGCAAATCGCCAGTGGCTGAGTCTCGGTCTTCTTCAGAGCATACCATAGTTTACCGCGCTCAATGTTTGCGCTTCTGGCTCAGGGTTTAGAAGATAACCCCTAAACCCCTAAACCCTAAACCCTAACCCGTAAGAGCTGAGACAGGTAACCCTCCAGGGCCTGAGAGCCTCACACATCGGAAGCCAGGCTGCGATGGGTGAGCTCCGGAGAGTTCTGAAGCCGGGTGGTGGAGGCCTCAGAAAGCAACGGCAGCTCTGGTTTTGCTGACAGCAACTGTAACAGCAGCAAGCAGTGCTGCAGCTGCTACTACTACTACTACTACAACTACATTATTGTGCCTGCAAACTAGAACGGCTAGTTTTTTGCAAAATCTTGATGGTCTTGCAATCTTTCTCGGGTGGGGGGCAAGATTGCCAAGCAATCTTGGTCATCTTGCCCCTGCTCCATTTGCTCGCCGAGCCAGGATGCAAAGATTGCTTGCAATCTTGCCCCCCGCCCCACTTGCTCGCCGACTAGTTTATCTTTTGGAGACCAAGATTGCAAGATTGCGTGGCAATCTTGGTCGCAATCTTGGTCCAGAAGGCAACCTGGTCGCCGAGACCAATCTTGCAAGACTGTTCGACAACCTTGGTCAAATAACAGTTCTAGTTTGCAGGCACACAGTACTACTGCCAATAGTATTACTACTACTGCTCTACTGCTGCTACTACTCCTTTCACTAGCACTACCACGACTACTACAATAGCAACAGCAACTGCTACGACGACCATTATACTATTGCTACCGCTACTGCTGCTGCTACGTACTGCTGCTGCTGCTGCTGCTGCTGCCGCTGCTGCTACTGCTACTTCTACTGCTATCGCTGTTGCTGCTGCTGCGATCAGCGCCACCACATCGCCACCACCACCACCACCACCACCAGCACCACCACCAGCTGCTATCTATGACTAGTCCTTTTCTGGCTCGGGCTATGGAGTAGCTTGATTGTGGTCGCAGTTGTAGTGTTCGTGATTGTGTTTGTTGTTAGGATTGCGTTGGCTGTTGATGGGTGGATCTCTGCTCCAGTCGTCGTACTTGTCGTCACTTTGTGTTGGCAAGAAGCTGCCGACAAGAAACGAGCAACGTCGTTGCTGCAAGCATTTCTTTCGCAGCAGTTTTTCGGTCGGGCGAAACTTCTTGTTGCAAGGGCGGGGTGACATTGCCTTCAAAGCAAGCTACAACGGAGAGTCTTGAGGTCAAGCAAAGCTTTCAGACCGTGTTCGTCGCTAGAATGCAACACACATCCGTGAGGCATGGCCGCAGCATTACTTGTCGTGAGCCTAAGAGAAGATCCCCAACTTGAACTGGGTTCGAGGTCGTCTCTTTGCCGTTGCATCTGACGAAGATGATGAGGTCCTCTGCAGGGAGACGGATTTCAAGCGAGTTTTGTATCATGTTCGGAAGGTTCTCTAGCTAGAGCCTGCTGCAATACTTCCGGTGATGTCAGTGCTGAGGCCAGTTGACAGTGAGGGTGTCCTGCAGCTGAATTGGAGATATTGCTGTGGCGCATCCATGTCAGTGCACTTCCTCTTTTCGGTTCATGGCTCAGTTTGGATTCTAATTCTATAGCAAGGTAACCATGAACAGGAACTGTGTTCCCGGGTGACCTGCACCTCCCGTCTTTCCTGCCAGGCATATGGGGGGGACTGGCAGCAAGGGATGAAAGGCTCCATCTTCGACAAGGCTGGGTTTTCTCAACAATCCCGCACATAAAATCCTAAGCCTAGCTTCAACGCTCCTACTTTTGGGTGTGCAAGAGAGATCCTCGTGTTTACGTGCCTCTTTGGCCCGACCTTTGCAGGGGTTTCGGGGTTCCCTTGAAATCGAAGCAGAAGCAGTCGTCGTAGTAGTACTCGTAGTGGTAGTCGTCGTCAGTAGTCGTCGTCGTCGTAGTCGTGGTAGTGGTAGCAGTGGTAGTGGTAGTCCTGGTAATAGTAGCAGTAGCCGTAGCCGTAGCTGTAGCCGTAGCCGTAGCAGTAGCAGTAGCAGTAGCAGTAGCAGTAGCAGTAGCAGTAGCAGTAGTAGTAGTAGTAGTAGTAGTAGTAGTAGTAGTAGTATAGTCGTAGTAGTCGTAGTCGTGGTGGTAGTAGCAGCGCCGCCTTTGCAGGCCGGCTTCGAACTGCAAGCCGCGAAGCAGGGCGAGTGTGGCCTCACCGTCGGCTATTTCAGGACGGCCCTGTAGGGCTTCCTTTAAGGGGTCTTTTCAGGATCTTTTAAGGGAACTCTTTCGGGGTGTAGGGTTCAGGATCTAGGTCTGATCGAGGGTTTCAAGATTTCGGATAGGGCCCCCAAAACCAAAACTTCATATACCTTGCAGGACGTCGTTTGGGCACTACAAGAACCCTAAACCCCAATCCCCTAAAGCCTAAAACTCGACCCCCTAAACCCCAAAACGTTGGTTGGAGGTGCAGGGTGCCTGCGCCCACACCCTGTGAACTTGAAAATCTTGCTTGGGGTTGGGGGGGGGTGGGGGGGGTGGGGGGCGCGTGTATGCAAGCCCTGAAACCATTTTTGGGTTTAGGGCTTCAGGGTTTTGGGCCTTAGTTTAAAATGGTTTTAGGGTTTTGGGTTACGCTGTTTTGCGAATACCAAAGATACCAAAGCCAGGAAGAAAGGCATCCGAAGAAAGAAGCCGAAGTTGGCGAAGGCACCTGGGAAGGGCCTACGAACTTCACAGCCCGGGATCGTTGTCGTGGTCCTGGTGGTGGTCGTTGCTGTTGTTCCTGTTGCTGCTGCTGTTGCTGCTGCTGTTGTTGATATTGAGATTGTCGTTGTTGTTCTTGTTCTTGTTCTTGTTGTCGTCATTGTATGGCCTACCTTGTGTTTAGGCATGGACTGTACCTGCTGTTGACTTCATGGAGAGTCAGGCTCAGTGTTGGGTCAACGCGCATGTTCAAAGCATGTTAAGCCGACAAGGCAAGACAGCTTTGCGGCCGCGCATCAAGTCCATCAGCAAAATTCCTGAAGCAAAACCGACCCGAGACCATCGTTAACTCTACAGTCTCCAAGCCGTATCAGACATTCTCCCAGATGCGGCAAGGCATGTTGGGAATCTTGGGGTCGTTTGCTGGAATCGTGAAGCCCCGCCCTTTGAATCACAAGCAGGTGGCATCGGGGCCCTAATAAGTAGACTTGACTAGGGTTTCTGCGGGTATGGGATATACTTTCCCCGAAGCCCAATGCCGACAAATCTGCGTCCACAGAGCATGAGACCTGGCATCACCTTATGCAGGACCCTTTAAGCTCCCCCCCTAAAATATCCCTGCAAGCATAGGGTTTAGGGTCTCTTATCTTCAAACTTTAGGCCGTATACAGCGGCCTCCAGGCTTCTGCCAAGTCCTTCGATGTCGACCCGAACGAGCTGAGCGCCCTGCTGGGCGGTGAAGACTAGCTTCCCGACGTCGGAGAAAAAGCAGGGTGAGGGCTTAGGTCTTGAGCTGTAGGGGTTTAGGGCTCAGTGTTTAGGTTTTAGGGTGTTCTTCGGGCCTGGCGTCGACAAAAAGAGTGTTGAATAGGTTGTTTTTGGGTCAGACAGGGCTTTATAGCGTGCAAGGGTTTGTGTCCTAGCCGTTAAACTCTATGAGCTCACGGTTTCGGGTTTGGGCAAATAAGCCAATCGGGCGAGATTAAGGGCATTGAGTGTTTATGCTGCGGACTTCGGATGATCATGCGATTTGTTGACAATTTTGGGGTGTCTTGCTCCCATTCATTTACCTGCGGTGTAAGGGTCCGTGATCGCAATATCTTTAGACTCCCGTTGTCGCAGTCTCCCAAAACGTAGTCCAAACACTTTAGACCCACTGCTTGCACTTGTAGATAAGCGACAGGAGCCTTGACAAATCCCTTGTAGAATTTTTGTTGGACCTTACAGACTCTCTCCCGGACACGTTATGAGGGTGATCAACACTCCAGCTAGCCTTCGTATGAGTAAGTATGAGGTCTCATGGTCTCGGAGGGCCTTTTGTTGAGGTAACGACAGAGTGTAAATAGAGACTCGTTGGAGAATGTCTAGGTTTAGGATTTGGTAGGCAAAGCCCAGCACCTTCCTGCCTAGAACACCTGAACCCTAAACCGATTGGCGTTTTGGCTTCCAGGTATCACAGCTTGTAGATCTAGACTTGGGAGGAGGTTCCAGTGGTGAGCCGATCTACTGCAGCCTTCCTGGAGACACAGCGCTCAGGACATGGGTAATCGATCAGGGTTCTATATGGTTTCTATCAAGGGTCTACCAAGACTCTGGTAAGGGGTCCATACCGGGTAACATAGGAGCATCAACTCATTAATAGGGATTCGGGCCGACTGTATTCTGCTGTGATGATACAGAGACAAAGAATTAACGAACATAGAGATTACTTCATTCTACCTTTTTTGGGGTTACCTCTTAGGATCCTTAATATTCAAACGGTTAGACCCCCAAAAAAGGCATTACAATGGGGACTAAATAGCTACTATTTGAGCAGCTTGTGAGGTCCTGCAGTGTGGTTTCAGCTGCTGCAGGCTGTCTAGGGGCTAGGGGTTTAGAGTTTCGGATTTCGTGTTTAGGATTTAGGGGTTTGGGATTCAAGGGTCTAGCCCTAAACCCTAAACCGTGGCCTAGGGTTTAGGGGTTTAGGTGTGACGGCCCCTGTGTCTGGGATCGAAGGTCGCCGTGTTTTCTGTTAGGCACACAGACACTTGGGTAGTTCTCCAAATTAGGCTTAGGGTCTCTTTTTGTTTGGATCCCCAGTAGGGTGCCCACATAGACTCATTGCAGTCAACCTTGAATTGGCAGACTTTCATGCTCGTTCCTCGATGGTTTTGCCTAAGTGTATAGCAGGAGTGAGGACCTTAACCCCAAGCCCCACCAGAGCCGCAAGCCCCCAAGCCTCAAGTCCAAATGTCGCAACACTATTTAGAGTCTTAGTGTCCTGATTGTCTCTCTACAATCCCCCAAACCCTAGTCTACTTATTCAGGCCCCTACGTTGTAAAGCCTCGGCGCAAGCCTCAAATCGGGAACCCGAAACTCCAAGCCTAGATGGTCTTGACGGTAACTCTCGTATAGTATACCCGGAAACCCAGTCAGTAACCCTTCTTACGGCAACCCTTAAAGGAGGGTTATATCGACATCATATATATATATATGTATATACAACATGCTTATTTATACAGTCTCTCCAAGCCTAGATGGCCTTCCCACGGCTAGGAATGGCATACCAGTTCGTGCTGACCTGGTGCCTGGCCATGCGGTGAAGCTTGGGTGTAGGATTAGGGTTCAGGGACGAGGTTTAGGACCAGCTTAGGGAGTACCCTCCATAGTTGTAGGTTTCTCCTGCAACCCTGAATCCTGTTACTGTTTAGTTGTTGTGTATTCGGCCATTGCTGCTCTAGCGGGTTGAATGATGGGTAAGCCCCGCTCCTCTGGTAAGAGAAGAAAGAACCTTTAGACAGTTGCAGTGCCTTTTCGTTGGTTACCTTGATTTTCAGCCAAGCATATCCTCAGAGATAAAATTCTACAAAACAGGATTTTAAATGGGGCTCATAGCATAAGCTGTCTTGGCCCTATTCAAACAAGGTACAGCGGTACCTCTCTTGCAGCCATTACGGTCTGGGAGGCATGCTTTCAAGCCTATGATCCGATGTCCTACGTCCTGATACGCGGCAACAGAAATCATCAAGCCCTCGAACATGTCCACCCAACGACCTTCTACAGAGGCCGGAATAAATACGGATTCTAGTCAACTAGTCCTTGGTGGTCCTTATTGAGATACTTGATGTGCTGCAAAGCCCTGGTTTTGGTTCGCAAGGCATGTAGATTAATCTCTCTACCTCCCCTGCCCAATCCTAAGCCCCTAAACCCTACCTGAACCCTACCTTTTTTAGGGTTTCCTTAGTATGAATTCCTTACACAAGTCCCAGAAAAGATAGGTTCTTCGGGGTCCAGGTAAACCAACCCTGGTGCGCTCAAACAGCAGCACAGGTCTCTCCTAGCATGCGTCATCGGCACCATCGTGGCTTTCGGCCTGATAGGCTTGCTGGAAGAAGTGGGCGGTTTGTGGAGACGTGCATGCCAGAAGCAGGTATGTGCCATGTTGTAAGATAGATAGTTAGTTTAGAATAGTAAGAAACGAATGAACAAACCAGCATACTGCTAACAAACAAGCCAACAGGGGCACAATGAAATTACAGTTACAAGTAGGACATAGGCAAATCTTTTCAGAAATGCAACCCTGCATGCATGTACGTACGTATGTACATAATATGTACGCATGTACGAGTGCCATGTACATACATGGATGTACGCATGATGTACGTATGTCTATTATGTGTATGTATACATAAATACTCCTTTCCCAGCCTCGCTGTAGGTGAAGGGCTGGATTGCGAGCAGCATGTGGGGTGCAATAGGCCTCGTTGCAAGAGTGTTACCGCACAGGTGTTGCCTTTGACTACCCTCGCAATCTGCAAGAAAATGAAGACCCAACAAGCGACAAGTCATCGCGTTATCTCTATAGAGGACTGGCGCAGGAATCACGTCAGGTTTTGACATTCTCTGTAGGTTGAACTTAGTACTATTGTAGTCATCTGATTAGTACTCGAGTCGTTACTACTACTATTGTTTATTAGCAGTCTTATTCGTATGATTATGTCCAGTCTAACTTTGCGAAGTTGCGACAATGCTAACCCAGTCTGAAACGTGGCGAGCGCTGGGACTCTTGATCAGGAGACAAACTCTCATTTACTCATTCTCTCAGATCATGGTATGAAGGGGCCGAAATATGTACCGATACTATGCTGGTGCTTGTACAACTAGGGCATAATTCACCCCAAAACCCTATTTTACCCGTGTATGTACACATTCTTTGAGGATGCATATGTCGTCCTTTGTTTCGCTCTTCGTCGACAGGCTTTCGCCCGCATCCACCCCCCAAAAACCCAATTCCAATTCTTAAGGCCACTTCATATCATGTACCCATAGTCTACATTGTATTTCCTTTTGGGGGTTAGCTTATCGGACCCGAAGCAACAAGTTGCTTACAAAAAGCAAAACCCGAAACCCTGAAATGGAGTTCCCCCATGAAATCTCAACCCTCAGCACCAAACCCTTTTAAGATCAGGGTTTTCCGCTTTGGGGTGGGGTTTATGCACATGACAAACCCTATCCCTCAACCCTCTGATGTCAGTTGCCCCAGCTCGGAAAGCTCCCTTGCTGTGCAGTTTTTCTGTGGGGCGCCTATCTGGACAGGCCGGAACCGATGGTGTTCTTCTGTATGCTTCGGTTCTTTACCGGCTTCAAGTTAAAGTCCAGAACTGTAGTCCTTGAAGACCGGCAGGGCTCCTGGAAGACAACCCCAAAGCCTCACCCCCATTCCTCGCAGCCAATAGCCTTCAAGCGATACTGCCCCAAAGACCCTAATCTTCAACCGTGAACCCCCCAACTCCTGACCCGTTATCCTCGAACAGACCCAAACCGCCCTGTGCTTGAATCAACAAAAATCCTTGAACCCTAAACCTTAACTCTCACTCGCTTCCCTCGCAGCCGAAAATAAGATTGTGGATGTACCATGAGGCCGAACATTGTTTTGGGAGGCGGGTTCCATACTATAACTTCCGTATGATATACCCCAAAACCCTTTTAAGCGTGGGTTGCGGTGTGTTGGAAGGCGTCGGGCTAGGGATTGCGAGAGGATGCAGGGTTCAGGATTTTACGGTCTAAGGTTTAGGGATTTTAGGGTTCAGGGTTTAGGGTAGTTTTGGAGGTTGTGTGATTGGAAAAGTGTTGGGTTCAGCATTGGGTTGAGGATTATTTACAGCGTGCCCCCCTCTACCGACATACCGTAGGGGGATTAATAATTACCAATACCATTTTGGGGGTTTCTTATTTACAATTATAGTATAATATACCCCAAAACCCAGTTCTAGTTTCTAAGGCCCTTATTGTACCCCAGTCCAACCATGTCCACTGCTCGGATCCATCATAGCCTTAGACTTATCGGAGTGAAGAAGCCCCAGGCCTCTAGTTCCTTGAACAGTAGATTACTAGCCAGGGTTTAGGGTTTAGGGTTACTAGCCATCTAGTACAATTGTAATGCCCTAGTGTTTGTAGCGGTTACGAGATATCTGTTAGAATACCCCAGTGCCCTACTTATGGAAAGCCTCAGCAGTTTCAAAGAACAAAAAGGAGCTTTTGAGGCTCCCCCAAACCCTAAACACCTGACGCCAACTCCAGGAATACTGTATATCTTAAGGTATAACAGCATCCCGAATATGCTTTATGGTGCATGCATTTATATGTATATATATAGTAGTATAGTATAACATACATATATATATATAATATACATACATACATACATACATACATACATACATACATACATACATACATATAACATACATATGTATAATATATACATATTATATATATATATACTTATAACATATACATATATATATATATGTATATATATATTATACATGTATAAAAAATATATATATAGATAGATAGATAGATAGATATACACACTTGATGATGGTGTTTTGGAGTCTCCGGGAACCCTGAACCCCTAAAGCCTAAACCTCTGGTTTTCGGAGCCGCGCTGCACGTCATGTGAAGGCACGAACATGACCCCGGACGGATACGTGCTGCCATGCAGCTTGAGAGCAGTGCTTGGGGGTTTAGGAGATATTCGGCCCTAAACTCTCAACCCCGAATATCCAAACCCTAATAAACCGTTCTGCCGTAGGTCGGCGGAGGGGTTCTATGTCGACTTCCTATGCTGTAACAAAGCGCACCACGATGTTTCTTCTGCATAACCTTCTACTTTCCTAGCCCGATGAAGAAGACACCAGACAGCATCCCTATAACAAGGGTTTAGGGTTTAAGTAGGGTTTGGGGTTTAGGAGGGCTGCTCGGTTGATGCACTCGAAGATTCGTCCGAGCCGCTGATGCGTCACATCCCAATTGCAAGGCAACTGTTCGCAGGTTTTGTTGGGCCACTGGATTTGCCGCGTTCTGAAGATTTCGGAACATGCCCTGCGCTTGCACAGATGTCTTTCAATCCTCGCGGGTGTAGCTTTCAGGGCAATCGGGGCGCGACACTCCACCTGTGGTCCCAATATTCGGGTTTTTGTTAGGTCTTGGTCGAAGGCCACTGATATCCATGAAGGCCAAGGGTGCCTGGGATCATCTCAACTTCCACCCACCTCGTGTCCAAGTTAATGTCTCGTTGTTGTCTAGGGCACCTCAACTGTTTTCGGCTGGGGGATTTGACCCTGACCCCTAGTTGTGGGCGCTGAGGGGCCTTCCTGCTTCCAGGTTTCTGTTCAGACGTTGAGTGATCATCTTATACTCCAACCCCCCGCGCCCAGAATTGGGCCCATAATGGCAATAAGTCCATGACATTCAAGCCGTTTTCTGTGCCAACATATTACGGCCTAGGCTTTAGCTGTATGCAAACAAACGGAACAAACCTCAGAGCTGTAACTTCCCAGCGACCGACATCCCTAAACCCTACATCCCTACACCCTAAACCCTACCCCCTAAAACCCGAAACTTTATACAGTCTAAACCTGAAACAGCCCTACACCCCTTCGCCCCACACACCTAAACCCTTCAGCTCAGGTTTCTCATGCTCTTCGTGGTGACATGCTCCGAGTTAGGCCTCTCTTGTTCTTCGCTGTCGCAGCTCAGGGCCTGTGCTGAATAAAGCGGCCTATTTAGTTACCATGCTATGCTGGGGCTCCTTTATAGCATTATAGTATAATATACGCCCAAAACCCTGTTCTGATCAATTAGTAAGGCCCCTATATTAGTCTTTTGGGCTTGAGTTTACGGGGTTTAGGGATTCGGGTTTGGGGTTTACCGGGCTTAGGGGTAAGACCTCAGAGGGGCACAACATATGGGCTCTTTTAGGGTTGTAGAAGACCTCTCAGGGGTTTTAGGTTTAGGGCTTACGGCCTACGGGTCGAGGGTTTAGGGTTTTTAAGGCACAAGGCCGGAAGCACTGAAGCCTGATGTTCTATAGCCCTAACCTTCATAGCAAAGAGGCCTAATTATAGAGCATAGAGGCCTGACTCGCAACGCTTTTCAAGCCTTCACATAACCCTTGTTGAACCTGTTCAATCCTTGTCTCCGCGCCCTTCTGAAACATGTGAACAAGCCCCTAAACCTCAAACAACTTATACCCTAGACCCGCCCTTTCGTTGTTCTTTGGGAGGTCTCCTCCTGGCAGGAGTCGTTAGCTTAAAGATGCTCGGCAAGCAACGAGTTTTCAGAGCATCCGGTTCAGGTTTTGTGGTTTAGGTTTGGGGTTTGCGGCTTCGGGTTTAGGGTTGTTCAAGAAGGGCTTGGGAATGTGTTCATGTTTCTCACGCGTGTAGAATGCTTTTGCCTCTAGGGTTTTTTAGAAGGCATCTACAACAATGAATGCAGGCATCTCCAACAGTGGTTTTGTAAACTTTGATACAGTTGTACATGCGTTGGCATCACTGCTAATGTCCTTCCCGCCATACATGTCTGTGGAGATGGCTATGCCGATGCATATTTGCCGTGAGTACAGTCGCAATGGCGCTCCACATTTGATCCAAGTACTTAGAACAAGCTCCACTTCCTCCCACAAGCGTCCGAAGGAGGAAGTCCAGTGGGGCAGGTAAATGCTGTACTATAGTTCGTGGACCTGGGATAAAATGAGTTCGGATTGTCTAACTTTATTTTGTTTTTGGTTTGGTGACAGATGGAAGGGCAGCATACACGAGCCCACGTGGTCCGTCGTGGTGAGAGACGTGTTCAAGGAGTATAAGGTTCAAGGAGGCGAGAAGCCGTTATCAACCCCTACCCTACACACTAAGCCCACATGTCCAAAAAACTACCTTGGAACAGACTTCGGGAGCCAACGCCCGGAAAAAACCTGTACCTCCTCGAAGTTATGCACCATAAAGTCCCTCAACACAATCACCCCCCCAACACAAAAGCAAAATTAAATAAATAATAAATAAATATAAATCTAAATAAATAAATATATATATATAAATAAATCGGAAAGCCCAAGCCTTATCACAAAGGCCTTGTATTAAGGTTGAGTCTCGTTGGAGGGTGTGGAATGTCTCTCTGAACCTCAACCCGGCTTGATAGTGCCAGCTTCGAAGGACTACACTGCTGGCGCTGTTGGCAGGATCCTGAGATGATCCTGTTCCACAAGAACCCAGTAGACCTATCTGGCGTCCATACCCAAACCCGACAGTCAAGGCTTTTAAATAAGTGGAGAGCGGCCAAGCCTCCGGAGCCACGGAGGCAGTATAAAATTTAAAAATGAACTGCACCCCTCCACCACCCCCCACCCCTCCCGCTCCACCCCATTTTGCCTCCTTCGCCACCTTTCCGGCCTCCCGCGCCCCACCCGTCCACACAGTCCATCGCGTTCGGGGTTTGGGTGCTTTAAGGCTTAATTTCTTGCCCTAAATATGTTAAAAGCAGTACTCCGCAATGTTGTTAATTATTCAGGGCCCTAAATCACAACTGTACTTGCTGTACATATCGAGCGAAAACATAGGGAAAACAAACAGTACAACCCAAACATATTGAGATTGAGAGCCAGGACATAAGTGTTAGTCATGGCCACTGGTGTGGAGTGGAAGGGCAGAGGGTGGGGTAGGGTGGAGTAGGGGGTGAAGGGTGGAGGACAGGGGCGCGCTCATTTAAAATTGGGTTTGGCGGCCCAGGCCCGAAGCCCACACGGGTAGTGTAAGATATCTGTTTAGGTATTGACAAATCCCCATATTTCAACATACTCACCTCAACCTCAGCCTACAGTTACCTGCTAGATATGCTAAGTATGTAGTCAGGTTTCTCAAGCTGTTTTGTATGCGATAATTCGAGATTGGAGGATATTAGCATTGTTGGTTGGCAAGTTCAGGATGTTGATCTTCATGGATTGTCGGACGGTGGCCTTTTGGCGCGCTAGGGGCAGCTTCTCAGAACTATCTCATTGATATATGAACTATAGCATTGTATAGCTGTGAACATTGTGTGTGTGAGAGAGAGAGAGAGAGAGAGAGAGAGTGTTTGGCGTGCCCGGGGGGAGGTGCGGGAGGTGAGGGTGGGGGGGGGGCCGCTATCAACAATAGTACCCAAGCCTGTACGTGTGTGCGCGAGCAGGTGAACTGCTGGGGCGGCTTAGATGCTCTGCGATGCGCTCAGCTCTTCCTAAGCCCTAAACCCCCAAACCCTATCAGCTAGGAGTCCCTCAACCCCCTGCACTGAAGCAGTGCAGCCCTCAAGCCCTGTGGCATCAAGACCAAAAGCCATAAAGACCTGGGCCCTTAGTATGGAAGCTACTTTAGTGTTATTATTCGCAGCCTTACATGATATACGTACATCGTCAGTGGAGATGCAGTGAAAATCTGAGGGCATTGCGAGGATTGCTCAAGGACTCGGATAAAGGTGCCCTGGTCTTCAGTTCCTTGAACTGGGTTCGAAATTTGGCCGGTTAAAAAATATAGTCCCTATATATAGGGCTTTGAGAGCCAAAGTGTATCCTACCTGGACTCTTAGGGTATGGGTATGGAGGCTCCTAGCCTCCATGCCCCGAGTCAATTACTTTGCGGAGTCAAGAGCCCGACGCCCCCAGGCCTCAACTCTGAAACCCTAAGCCCGAAAGCTGGAAAGCGTAAATCGTTGTAGAACCCCTTTTTGAACCTTATACCGTAAGCCCTCTCTCCCCTCAATGCTAAGCCCCTTATAAGAAACCCTCAAACCTACAATAAACCCTAAACCGCTACAGGGAACGCTAAAAACCACCCAAAAAGAACCCTGTAAGAAAGCCCAAAACGCTTGGTGCTCTGACCTCAACCCCCTAAACCCCGAAATCCCTAAGCCCCCAAACCCCTAAACCCTTAAAACCCCGAAACCCTTAAACCCTGAACCCCTATAAACCCTAAACTTTTATAAACCCCAATAAACCTCTAGCTCCAAAGGCTCCGCTTCCCCGCAGCCCATGACCTGGAGTCGTGGTTCTCTGTCAGGGGCCCGGCCCTTCTTGTGGGGATTAAGGGTTAGGGTTTTAAGTTTATAAGAGTTTATAGGGTTTATAAAGGTTTATAAGGGTTTATAAGGGTTTATAGGGGTTTAGAGGGGTTTGTAGGGGTTTAGGGCTTAGGGTTTATCGGGGTTTAGGGGTTTAGGGTTTACTCTGTAGGGTTCAGGGCTTACCGAATTCGGGGCTTAGGGCTTTAGGTTTATAGGGTTTCTGCTCGAGGGCTTAGGCTTTCCAGGGTTTAGGTTGAATGGTTGAATGTTTGAGGGCTTAGGGTTTGAGGGTTGAGGGTTGGGGTGTTGAGTTTAGGGGTGTTTTTTGTGACTTGAGAGATTAGGGTAGCTTAGGGTATGGTCGTCGGTTGTGGGGTCAACAGTGATACAGGGTCCCAGGCTCCAGCGCTTTTGATGAATGCACACGTAGGGCATGGCATAGGTCGTAAACAGAAGGAAGAGGCTGCTTTGGGGGATTGATAATCTGATAGCTACCGTAGTGGTATTCTGGACTGTTCGTAGCAGGATAATATGGGTCGCCCTAATCGCAAGAATAACTGTCACATGAGGCAAAGGCCCTCCCCAAACAGCTGCTTTTGACACACTGAGCAACCCACAGACAGGCAGGTGCAGACACAGAAGCTAGGAAGTCGCCCACTAGCCCCTGCCCCATTTTATGGTCAGAGTCATGTCCGTACGGTTGCAGCCCGGAGCCCTAAACCCCAATGTTCGTAGTATCTTTCCGGCCGCATGGATTTGTGTCTTGTCCCCGAACAGCAAAGATGCCGAAACCCAAATCTTAAACACACGAGCCCGAAACCTTGACCTGCTCATACATGTATTGCTAATAACACTGAGCGCAAGAACAATGACAAGAACAAGAGAAGACCGCAGACTTTAGTCTCAAGCCGAAGAAACACAAGAAGCTGCGATGCGCCCTTTAAAGACTGTCTAAGGCAAAGCAATTTGGTTTGCTGCTGGTGAAGACTGTGACCTATGCGTTCGGCTTCATCGGGTTCAGGAACCGCTGTCTTTACGGTTTAGGGCTCAAGGATTAGGGACTGAGTCAAGGCTCCTCCAGACTCCATACCCCGCAGTATGTGTTCGCGGCTTGATGGCAAGGACTTCTCAGAAGTAGTGTAACCGACAATCGGCAACAACTGAGAGTCTTCTCACTTTGTTCTGCTGTCGGTGGCTTTTGCTTGGTCTTGCTATCGCCAGCCAAACTGCACTGTTGTCCGTTTGCCTCTTCATTGTTACTGTATGTTTCAATGTATGTGTACACACGTATGTATATGCTACATATGTTATGTTTACGTATAGTTAATATACACACATGCATATGACATGCATGCATGCAACTTGTGTGCATATAGATAAAGATAGATAGACTGATAGATAGGTCAACGGATACGTAGTTAGATAGGTAGATAGACAGATAGATAGATCGATAGATAGATAGGTATGTATGCATACATATACATATGCATATATACTTGCCTCTCTCTCCTACCCATCTACCTACATTCTACAAACCGTTCCACCTACGAACCTACCTGCCTGCCGACCTACATACATACATACATACATACATACGTACATATGCGCGTACGAAATGTATAGACTTGCATGCATATATATATATACGTACATGCCAGGGTTGGCGAAGCGAGCCCTCCGCCCACAGTGAACAACATTGCTCCTTCCTCTCATGTTTTGAAACGGGCATTCGATGGGCTTTAAGCTTTTGAAGGGGTGCTCCAACAGGGTTTAAGGGGTGGGAATGGGCACATCCGGAACCCAAGCACACACAAATGCATGTGTATGTGTGTGTATATATACATATATATATATATATGTATGTATATATATATATATGCATACATACATGCATGCATGCATGTGTACATACATACATACATACATACATACATAAACCATACATACATACATACATACATGCATACATAAACCATACATACATACATACATACATACATACATGCATACATGCATGCATGCATGCATGCATGCATGCATGCATGCATAAACCATACATGCATACATACATGCATGCATACATACATACATAATTTCATACATACATACATACATACATACATACATACATACATACATACATACATACATACATACATACATACACGTACACACGTACACACGTACATGCATACACACACATACATACATACATACATACATAGATAGTTGATTTGTGTGTCAAACATTCACGCACCCACACACACACACACGTTTTCTGTTGTACTGGTTATGTGTGTGTACAGATATACAAAAGGCATAAGAGGGTCTGGATGCATGTCTTAGAAATCTGACTCGTCTCGTTGCTCGTGAGGTGTGTGGTTTCACTGAGTGCTCGGGTCAATCGTCCTGTACTTCGCCGGCGGGGCTGTGAAATGGGGCTCGAGCGAATCACGGAAGTCTCCGCACCACGCCGGAGTTTCCAGGCCCTACTACACCAGTAGCACAGTCCAAGAGAAGTAGTGCCTCTGGCGCGGGCAGGAAGCGCCCTTGTCTCCACCTCTAGCCTCCCTCTTTCGGGAAGCCTGCTAGCAACGATGTCATTCTCGTACAGACTAAAAGTCCAAGTACATCGTTAGCATGGCCTTCGTACCTTCGACCTGGGGCTTGTTTGATTCATTTTGGTTCTGAAATGTCCTGAACCTCTCGTCCTCCTTCCGGCGTTCACGATCAACGCGGCTTCAGGGCGTTGATTCGTTCCCGAGATTCGGGGGACCCGAAGGTTTTGTTGTGTTTAGCTGCGACCGAGCATCCCCATGGCCTGAAGTTTTGGGGCTCTCCGTTCTGAATCAGCAAGCCGCGAACATGAGCCTAGAGGCCGGAAGCCCAATGAAGACTAAGATTCCATGTGCCTCTCAGTCCTTCCGACACTAACCTGCCGCAAATTCGATGACACTAACCCAAGTAGCTGAACGCATTGGGTGGGGGACATCAAAACACTAAACCCAAAACAATAGCCCAATCCAGCATTCTTCCAGCCGAAGGATGCATATCGGAAAGTTTATCGCGCTCATCTTGCCTGGTGCCAAGAGGTTTCGGGTTTAAAGTGGGTGTCTACTTCAAGGCTGAGGCGCAATCTACATGTGGGTCGACGCGGGACTTTTTTTGGGCTGCGCTTTCTTCTCCTAGCCCTAGTCTTAAGTAAGAGAATTCCTGGATCCTTCCGGAATGGGTATCCCTCTAGCTCCGGGTGCTGTGCAAACTTGCACCTGGCCCAAAAGAGTCCAGGTCTAGTCTAGGCTCTTGGGGTTAGGTACAGGGTCTCCACCCGGAGACAGAGGTACCGGGGCGCTGAGGGTAGTCCAACCCTAAACCTCTGAAGCGTAATCCCAAAAAACCTCAAAGCCCTGAAAGCCAAACTAGCCATAAAGCCCCGCAGGCAACAATGCCGCAACAGCCCCCGCATTGAAACTGAGAGCAGCAAGCCCTAAAGCTCTGGAGCTCCAGAGCCTTCAAGCCCTAAAGCCCGGAAACCCCTGACTTAGGAGTTTAGGGGTTTGAGGTTAAAAGGCAAGTTTGGGGCCATAGGTTTTTAGGGTGTAGGACCCCAAACAGCAAAACCCGAAGCATGAAGCCCCTATACCCGAAAGCCCTCAAAACATATCCACTGGAGGCTCAATGTGTGGGGTCTCCCAGTGCTCTATCTCATGGCTCTGCCTCTTGACCCCTGTGAGCAGGCCCCGACGATTTGGGGGGGGCGGGGGGGATTTAAAGGTTTAGGGGTTCAGGGTTTAGGGATTTAAGGTTAAGGGTTTTCGGGCTTAGTGTTTGGGATTTGGGGTTCTTGCTTGCTCAGAGGAGGTAGGGTTAAGGCTGTTCAGGGTTTTTTTTTGGACGACGTAGGGTAGACTCTAATTAGAGAGTTAGGGCTTTGTAGCTTGTATTGTTTATGCTTTCGGGATTGCGAGGCTCAGGGTTTAGTGATCCGACCCCTTGTTCAGAGCAGTCCTTTGTAGCTCCCTTGTCGATTGGCGATGTCACAAGTCCGCAGGTCTCGTCCCTCGCTTGTGTTGTATGTTGCTCCAGGTCCTCTTATCACGACCGAATCGTCGCCTTGAGCAGTGGATCTAGTAGCCGCTTACCCGTGTTTCTAGCAGGTGTCCTCGTAGGAAAAATCGTTAGAGTTTAGAAATCCAGCTCAAGCCGAAAGCCGGTACCCTAAACCCAAAGCACTCTGTAAACTCGGAGCTCGAAATCTACGAACCCCGAAGGGGGGCAAGCCCTTCGCGATTTTTCTCTTCACTTCAAACAGTTCTGGGTTTAGGGTTGCTGGTAGCACTGACAGTGCTACTGCTGCTGCTCCTCCTCCTCCCCTACACTCTTACTACGCCTACTCCTATACTCACACCATGCCTACTCCCAGCACACCTACTAGTACAACTACTGCTCTGTTGATGTCCTGGATCCCGACTGCTTGTAAAGATGTTCACCCTAGTGGAGCTGGGATTCCTTGAACCCTTTGCCGTGAAGCGGATGATGGCCCGAGAGCCATGATCGGCAGAAGCCTTTCTGCAAAGAAAACATGTCCGGCAGAAGCCAGCTTGCAGAGCATGATCGGCCGAAGCCCGCAAGGACCAATCGTAGGCATTTACATGCTGTGCACACATGCGCATGTGAAGCCGAGCGAAGCAGGCTGTGTGTCCGAAAAAATCCCAATTCGAATTCGTCTGAGATTGCCACGGTTTGGTTCGTGGCTGTAAGACATTGATAACTACATGGAGGAGACGTAGAAGCCGTCAGAGGAGTTTAGAACTCCTACACACTCCTGCTGCTCGATTCTTCCGCCTACTCCTTCACCCACACCTATTCACCTCTTCCCTACCCCTACCCCTAATGACCCATTCCCCGATGCCAACGCCCTCTCCTACTCTTCTGTTACTACGAAGATTTCTGGCAAGAGTATCACCGATCGTCCAGGTGGCGCAGGACGAATACGACATCGACCTCGTCATTCGAGCCGGGGGGCTTTGGGGGAGCCCTGCGCAGCCGGCATGAACGAACTCAAAAATACCTGACTTCGGTTTAGGGTTTTGGGGTTTTGGGGTTCAGGGTTTAGGGTTTAGGGTCTTGAAGCCAGAAAGACGCATGTGCAATCCACGGCTTCTTCGTGGCGGGGGGGTTCCTGAAATTAGCTACATTGCTAAACCTTGAACTCGTCGCGCCGAAAGCGCTAAACAGGCTAAACACAAAATTAAGACTCCCAAACTCCTAAACTGCCAAGAGCCGAAACCCTAAAGTCCATTAAATGTCATTAAACCCTAAAAGCCTAGCACCCCTTAGGCTTGTGGTCGATCTTATACTCACCCCCTATAGTGCCCATAAACCCTATAAACCCTAAACTAAGGCCCCTTATGGTAGACCTTATATACTCACCGCCCTTTCTTGAGCCCTCGGTGAGGTCTGGCAGCTGGCAGTGTGCTCCAAGGAGCGGCGGCGACTCGACTTGACCCGGAAGATCCACGTAAACCTCAACCCTACAATTTAGGGGTTTGAGGTTGTTTTTGCTTTCGGGTTCAGGGTTTCAGGGTTTCGGGTTTGGGGTTTAAGGTTTCAGGGGTTACCTATAGATACTTTCTTGGGGATCCTTAATATAAAGATGGCTGCACCCCCAAAAAAGGAACTACAATGGAGACTATAGGCCAAGCTGCAGGGTTTACGGTTTAGGGTTTCTGATGCATAATATTGGGGCCTTAGGAACAGGAGCGGGCGTCCTTTATAAGGATTTCTAGCTTGTCGTAAGGTTTGTAGTAGAGGTGCCTTGACAATACTGGGGTGTTTTCCTATAGTTGCATCTAGGAGCCCTCAGGAATGTATCTGTACTTCTTGAGGGTTTTGAATTGCATGGATACATAGATGCATACGAACATACAAAGATTCATGCATACCTGCATCCATGCAAACACCTATCCACACACACACACACACACGTACATACATATATACAGGCCGACCTAGACTTGGAAAGGGGCTGAGACTCAACAAGAAACACTACTTAAATCGCTCAGTCTCGGCTGTCACGGACTCTTCGGTCAAAGTTAACCATTCCGACTCGTTGCACCATCGTCACCGTGCGTCAAGCCCTGGAACCTCCCTCGACCTTCATGTGGCAGTCGGGAACTGCTGGCTGGACATCATGCCGACACTCGCGTCGTCCCCAACCTAAACCCCGAAGCCCCTAAACTTAAACCCGAAATGAACGCCGAAGCCCCTAAACCACCAATTTCTGACGTCTGATCTCTGCGCTGCGAGATCTCTGCTCCTCCACAAACGGCTACAAACCCTGAGCCCACTCAGGAAATGCCTCGACACCTGCAGATGTTGGTGGAACAGGAGTCCCACTGTGATGGCGGTGTTTACTCCTCTTGTTGAGGCTTATCTCCAAAGATCAACAGTCTCTGAAAGGAGCTGCCTAATCTTGAGCATAGCATACTCGTGTGTCCAAGTGTGACAATTGTGGCGTTCGAGAAATGGCATCACGGGACGAACTCTGCTTCAACTCCGTGAGTAAACTGAAACTGAAGTGCTCCAGCCACTAGGCCAAATGCGCACTAACAGTGTAGAGGTACTAAGAATGTCACGAAATCATGGACGCCCTTAGCACAAGTTAGGTTTAGGCCACAGAGAGGAGACAAGTGCAAGCTTCCTCTCGAAAACCTACTCCCCTGAGCCTCACGCAGTGAAACTGAGGCCGCAAGTTCTAGGGCTTGGGGGGTTTGGGTGCTTGAATCCCGCCCGACCCAGCTCACTGGGTTCAGGGTCCTGGGGTTTATAGGGGTTTAGATTTTGTGCCTTGGCTGGAGGTTTTTGCAACCTCACTATGGCTGAAGGGGGCCGATGCACTTCTTCGAACGTTTTTCTCAACACAAGGGTTTAGTTCGGAGACCTCACACCTCAAGCCCCAGACCGAAAGCAAGACTGAAGTCCATGAAGCTCGTGCAGAACCTGCATAAGCTCACAGACAACTGTCTGTCGAAGCCTCCGGCCTGAGGCCATGTCTGGGCCGTGACACCCGAGATCGGAAACCGCAAGTCAGTACCAAGGTTCAGGGTTTAGGGTTTTGGGTTTAGGGTTTAGGGAATGTCCCCCAAGATCCAAGATCATTCGGACATTGGTGCACTGCCTGCTTCAGAGGAAATTGGTTGCGGCGTCTGAGCAGTCACCCCTCGCCCGCATGGTCCGCGCCCCTGTACGAAGTGTCATGTGTTCTCGGAATGATTTTAGGACGTATAAACCTAACTATAGCAATTATAGAATACCCCAAGGAATGCGATATCAGCTGTAATACGTCCTTATATTGCAGATTCAGGGTGTGGAGACGAATCTGAAGCTGCCAGTATCAGTTTTATCACTGGCAAATCCCCCGATCGTCCCTCGTCAAAATGCTTCCGGGGCATTGGTTTAAGGTTAATTGCCCTAAGCCCTAGACCATAAAACCCTGTTTAGGCTTTTTGGGCTTGAGGCTTTAGAGCTTCTTGGCTGCGTCGTTATGCTGGCGGCAGGGGTTTACAGGCCAATGCCTTTGCGGCTTAGGCTCCACAATGCTCCACAAGACTCGTTTAGGGTAAGTTTACGGGCTACCTGGACCCTAGAAAACTCGCCTTTTTTGGGCTTCGTTATTATGATTTCGTTGTACAGCTCCTTAAAAAGCTAGGTTTTTAAGATTCATGGAGTCCAGGTAGCGTTTGGGGTGCCCAGTTAGCATTCGGTGCTAAGCGTCAGCGCCATAAAACAAAATCTCGCTAATCCCTACGATAGTCTTCCGAACTTCGTGCGCAGAGAACCCTGTACGCGATATAAGTACGTACGTAAGTATGTAAGTATGTAAGTATNNNAAGTAAGTATGTATGTATGTATTTATGTATGTATGTATGTATGTATGTATGTCTGCATGTCTGTATGTCTGTATGTCTGTATGTCTGTATGTATGCATGTAAATGATATGTATATGTATATATATATATGAATATATATATATGTATATGTATATGTATAAGGCTGTGTGTGTATATATATATATAATATGTATCCTAGACATGAGTGAGAGAGAGAGAGTGTGTGAGAGAGAGAGAGACAGAGACAGACCCCAATAGCAGGACCTTCAGCACACATAATTGTGCAAAAGCCATATTATCCAACAAGCTGCCCTCTGCATGAGGCGATTTGTGCAGCCAGTCAGGCCCTTATCGTGTCCGCTTCACCAGGAAGTTCAGGGCTTCGGAGTGTACGATGATATACAGACGGTATTGTTTCCGGAAGGGGGGGGGGGCTGAATACTTATTAAGACCCTACACCCTAAGCCCCAAAGTCTAAACCTGTGAAAAAATCCCAAACTCTCAACGTTAAGCCCCAACGCCCTGAACCCGTGAAGCCGAAACTCCTAAGTCTTATAAATGACAGCCCTAGCAGACTTACCCGATTCCCGAAAGCCCCAAGCCCGACCCTATAAACTCTCACCGAAGCCCCACTTTGAAACAATCCTGTCCACTGTGTTCGTCGACCCAAATCCCGTTTATGGCTTGTGGGGTTTAGGCTGAAGGGCTTGAAGTACTATGATACATGCGAGATGCCTCAATCACGGCCCCCTGTGATACTCTGCACTCAGCTTGTGTTATATAGGGGTTCGGTATGCGACGACCCTCGTCTTTCGTCTAATGCTTCAAGTCTGTGCCGGACGCTCATACTCAGGCCCTCACTACCGGAGAGCCTTCAGCAAGAAGGGCAGAAGCGTGTGAGTGCTGCACCAAGGCAGGCTTCGTTGTCCTGGAATGTGCATGCAGTGCAAAGAAAGGTATCACAGCACCATAGTCATGCGCGTGGTCTGTCACATTGGCTTTATATGGTTATCATCTTCGTCAAGACAGTAGCGAGAAAGCCCAACATTCAGTTGCCTCACGAAAGTTCCTGCTGAGTTGCCACAATAGTAGGAGGTAGCATATGATATCATATCATACCATACCATGTCATATCATAACATAGCATGTCATGTCATATAATATCATATCATATAATGTCATATCATCTAGTATCATATAATGGAATATACTGTAATTTCATATAAGATGATAGTCTGTAACGTTGGAACCTGGCCAGCCCTGGAGCTTTCGCACCTGACCTCCTAGGCCTCAGTGGCCTGGTGCCCCAGAGTTCCGTTAGGGCGCTCTCTCTCTCTCTCTCTCTCTCTCCCTCTCCCTCACTCATCGTTCATATGTGTATGTATGTATAAGTAAATAAACAAAAAAATATAAATCAATATATATATATATGTGTGTGTATCTATATGCGTATCTTATACACAGATTTATATGCACCGCATGCGCGCGTTTCTGTGCATCATTGCGCCCCTGCCGAGCCAGGTGGCAAGCCTTGCGGGCACCTCCCAAGGGGGTGGAAACTGCTTCTGGTCCCAAGGGAAGTTTCGCATTCGAGGTTGTAGGGTTAAGGGAACTTTAGGGTTTGAGGTTTCAGGATTCAGGGAAGTTTGGGGTTTGAGGCTTTAGGATTCAGGGAAGTTTGGGTTTAAGGTTTCAGGGATAAGGGATTTAGCACCGTAGGGCTTCAGGAAAGGCTAGGGCTTTAGACTTTTAAAGGCCGGTTTGAGGGTTTAGGGTTTTGAGACATGTTCCGGAGCAGAGGGCTTAAGGTAAAACTTGGGTTTGTGGTGTAAAGTTAAGCTTTAGTCCTAGGTCCTAGGTAGTAGTAGGGAGACCCCTTAAAGGGGACCCTTCTGAATCCTACTTATGGCCCCTTAAAAGGGACCTTATTGAGAGGGTCTCTATTCCCAAGGGTCCCCCTAGCCTTAACTCCTATTTAGGGGTTTAGGCCTAGATGGTTTAGGGGTTTCGGGTTTAAGGTTTACGGACTTGCTTCAGGATTGCGTATTCCCGACATCACCCTGCCGGCTAGGCTAAGCACAAACACCTGGGGAAAACTCTAGATTCTACCCTTGTAGATTGTAGATGGACCTTACAAAGAACTAACACGCTAAAACCTGAACCCTATAACTATAGAGCCTACCCGCCTACCCTCGTGGATGGACCTCTGCAAATGACAAACAAGCCTAAACCCTAAACCCTAAAGGCCCCCTAAAAGTAACTACCGCTTTGCTTCGCTTCCCGGTGTCGGGTCGTGAGCGCCGAAGTCGAGCTGTGGTGCTTTTGCAGCTTGTTGAGGGTCTAAGGTATATATGGTTTAGGGGGGGTTTTCCGGAACGCCGTAAACCGTAACGTATCGTAGAAGCCTGAATCGTTGTTTCAAACATATTCCCCATTATTCCTTTTGGTCCTTCGTTGAGACGATATGCTATATTTTTCTCCGAGACCCTAGTCTGTTCGTTAAGGCGAGGCAGGCATGTGGGAAATCTCAAGCAGAGGGCTATCGACTTCAAGTTGGGGTCTGTCCTTTAGGATGCCCCCCTAAGGCGCAGGAAGACCAAAGTTTATAGGGCTTACGGGGTTTAGGGTATGAGTACAAGGATTCAACAGCTGCAGCATAGGGGGGGATCGGTGCTGATGGCTCTTTTTGGGTCCCCCTAAGGTTTCGAATCTCCCCATCCTCAGGTAGAGAGGTCGAGGCCGGGGGAGTCGCCGTTTTTGGGTTAGTGGTTTTAGGGTTTAGGGTT